AACATACATCAGGGGATGTAGCTCAGATGGTAGAGCGCTCGCTTAGCATGTGAGAGGTACGGGGATCGATGCCCCGCATCTCCAAGTTGGATTTTTTTTTCACCAATTTTTCTTTTTTTTTAGCATAGAAAACATTTGCATAAGTTACTTGGCACTTTGATGGACATGCTCTCCCATCGTCGGCGACATTTGTGTCCAATTATTTAGTAAATAGAATATCATGCCGGTTACAACTCCATTTCACACGCTTTTCCAAACGACTGGCCGAACCGGCTTGTTATGCAACCGCTCAGTGACTTTGGCTCTTTAGCCCGTCTCCGTTTCCATTTCCATTTCCCGGCAGACATCGCAGCTAATCCAATTAAGCGTACTCATCATATTCACGCAATGCAGGCCATGAACTAGAAATGCAGCTAAACCGGACTTCGCAGAGGGTGGCTCTAGGGTAGGGGAGACTGCAGCGGAGGGCAACGGGTATGGCGAAGATTCTGACATTTCCGTCATGTCCGGATGATTGAAATCTGTTTAATTGAATTCAACTTTGGAATGCATTTCGCTGCTCTTCATATTTTTCGTCGATTTTTCTTGAGTCATAATATTATAATTTTAAGTGGCTAAATGGTTTACAACCCAATACGTTGGCTTTACATTTTCTTTCTTTATAATTAATTTTTTTATAATTTTCCTTTAACATTATTTGCTTAAAAAAAAAATTGTATTTTTATTGGACGCCAATCTATTTATACCCGTTACTCGTAGAGTAAAAGGGTATATTAGATTCGTGCAAAAGTATGTAACAGGTATTCTTGATCGGGATCACTAGCCGAGTCGATCTAGCCATGTCCGTCTGTCCGTCTGTCTGTCCGTCTGTCTGTCTGTCTGTCTGTCTGTCTGTCTGTCTGTCTGTCTGTCTGTATGAACGCTGAGATCTCGGAAACTATAAAAGCTAGAAGATTGACATTTTGCATGCAGATTCTAGGAGTTCCTACGCAGCGCAAGTTTGTTTCAAAAGGGTGCCACGCCCCCTCTAACGCCCACAATCGCTTATATACGATTTAAAAAATTTCAATATTTTGGAAAAGTAAAAATGCAGTTTTATTGTGTTTATCAATACCTATCGAAATGTAGAAGAAATTTTTTAAATCGGACCATTCGTTAAAAAGTTACGGCGGATCAAAGTTTTTCTCCATCTCTTTCGCACTCCCTTTAGCTGAGTAACGGGTATCTGATAGTCGGGGCACCCGACTATAGCGTTCTCTCTTGTTTTAATTGTATTACCAACTAAACGAGGTATGAGCTTCCATTCGGACAATTTGTAGCTTAGCTTTGAACTAGATACTATTTTTTAAGTTAGTCCTTGATCTAATCATTTTTTTCTTTTTTAAAGTCAAATTATAAGTTTTAAGTCGTATTATAAGTAAATATTTGCACCTATCTGTGACTAGCGCATTAATTTATAAGTTCCAAACTTGTAGCGTTAGGATGACACGAAATAATAAAATACAAATACAAAATGTTCTATTCATACATTTTTATGTTTGTTTTTATGTTTCCTGATTTTTTAATAATTGAAATTTAAACTTAATTTTGTTAAACAAATTTGCAAGCAGCAGTTGGAAACTTCTTACATTCTTAAATGTGCATTTTTTATAAATTTCAATTGTTTTGACCTTCGATTAGTTGTGTTTCGAATATATCCTAGCTTTTTTTCTATAAATTTGCCCATAAATGGACTTACTTACGTTTTAGATTCCTCGCCTGCATCCCACACAAGACGATAGTAAACAGTTGTTAGATGTCATGAAACTGAATTATTATCACCGGTACCGTGTGGGTGTTCATTAATAAATCTATCTAATCTGCCACTTGAATTTGCTGTACACCCAATGGCAATGGCATTGGCATTGAGCAGGTGCAGTTGATTGGACGGAGGAGCTGTTTGGGGCATGCCCACACTAAATTGGATCGCTGTGAATCACCACGGGTGTATTCTCCATACGTCACGTAGACCTCAAAATCGTACAAGTTTTAGCTGCAATCTGCCAAATTTAAATGTCATTCTGAGTCAAAATCTGCCAAGTGGGCCACCCCTGTTCCGAAGGTCCGATTTTCATCGAACTTTTTTACTTTTCCGGTTCACAACGAAAATATAAGAACTTCATTTGAACGGTTTTGCGAAATTTTGAGTTTTACCGGAGTTATAGGGGTCAAAACATGGCATTTTTGACAGTTTTTCGAAAAAGTTGCACTCAGTCATTAATTCATAACTTCGGAACGGTTAGAGATATCTTTAAGATGTTTTCACTAATCGCTCAAGAATTATTATGGCTTTCCATAAAAAAATGTAAAAAAAATTAAAAATTTTTGTTCTTAAAAATAAATCAACATTTTTTTTTAGTTTTTATTTTTTTCAGTGTTCTTCACCAGCTATAGAGTTTAAAACCATTTGAAAATAAAGTTTGATTCATTACAAAAAAGATCCAAAAAAAAAAAAAGAGTGGCCCGGCCAAAGGTTTTTCGCAATATCGATTTGAAGAAGGGCGCACAGCGGTTTCCCATACAAAACGGCAAAAAGTCCCCCATTGACAGCTGACGCTACGCTCGCTACGGCATGTGTTGACCAGCCAGTTTTCACGAGCAAGCCGTTTTTGTATGGGAAACCGCTGTGCGCCCTTCTTCAAATCGATATTGCGAAAAACCTTTGTCCGGGCCCCTCTTTTTTTTTTTTTATCTTTTTCGTAATGAATCAAACTTCATTTTCAAATGGTTTTAAACTCTATAGCTGGTGAAGAACACTGAAAAAAATAAAAACTAAAAAAAAATGTTGATTTATTTTTTTATGGAAAGCCATAATAATTCTTGAGCGATTAGTGAAAACATCATAAAGATATCTCTTACCGTTCCGAAGTTATGAATTTTTGACTGAGTGCAACTTTTTCGAAAAAGTGTCAAAAATGCCATGTTTTGACCCCTATAACTCCGGTAAAACTCAAAATTTCGCAAAACCGTTCAAATGAAGTTCTTATATTTTCGTTGTGAACCGGAAAAGTAAAAAAGTTCGATGAAAATCGGACCTTCGGAACAGGGGTGGCCCACTTGGCAGATTTTGACTCTCTGGTTGTGATGTTTGTGCCAATATCAGCGAAATCAAAATTTGAATAAGAGCAAAACGAGAAATAGTGTCTGCCGTTGGCAAGTCGAAATTTCGATACCCTTTTATAAACAGCATAAAATATAATAGAATTAATAAATAATGTGTTTATATTAATTTTTTTATTTAATAACCCAGTTCATTGACATTAATTAAATTTTCCATGTATCATTTATATTGATGCATTATATTATTATTAAACTTCATTATTATCAACTGGGGACTAGGTTTGGAAAACCCTTGAAAAACTATGCAATATACATTTTTGGGGGCAGGTTCCAGATAGAAATTATAGCGGTCATAAGCAAATGACGGCAAAATAGAAAGGTAAACAGAATAAACGATCGATTGTGACATTTCCAGATGGCAAAAAGCTTCCCACACGAGTATATTTATACGTAATCGACGACTGTTCGCTGGCTTCTCCCAATTGAACTCTTTTAATCAGCCGCCCAATTAACGCTCTCAGACAGCTGACTTTGATAGCAGCAGGTTATAGCCGGTGGGGCTATGCCATATGGCTGGCTATATAGCCATATGATAATGGTGATCATCGCCGAAGCAGCTGATAAGCCCCGGAAATGTGCGTGGAGAGCGTGCGACGAGCGCTCGACGTCACCCGCTCTTTTATGCTTACGTTGGCTTTACTTTACGATCGGGGGACTTTCGTACAATTTTATGTTGCCAAGAGAACTTGGATGGTCTCGGCTTCTTGGATTGTCCGGGGTCTCTGGCGGGTCTCTTTATTTTTTCAGATCGGTTTCGGGTGGGCGAGCGGTGTTCTTTTCATTCCCCTCAACTCGTTTTTGCTGCTTTTTGGTTTTGGGCTGCTGTGGGGGCTGGTTGTGCCTCGTGTTTCGCCTATTCATGCGAAAAATTCAGCAGCGTTTGAATGAACGCGAGTGCCGGGAACATGAGCGACCGCGAGCAGCAATTTCGCCATTTCAAGGCCTACGTGACTTGTCTCACACAGGGAAATCGGAACGATTTGAACCGGGTACTGCTATTGCGGTTCCGGCAGGCGGACAGGGGTACAGGGTCTGGGTCTCCTCGCCGTAATCCGAGCGTAGTTAGCTCAACTTTGTTCTATTATCCATTTACAGGGGAGCAAGTGCAACTCGAAAATATGGCTAAATAACTTTCAATGAGAAAATAGGCGAATATTTTGGAAATTTTGAAATTATAAAATATCTAAAAAATACTTTAAATATTTTAAAAATCATTAGTTCAAAAGCCTTTTGAACATTTAGTTTTTTTGCTAAAATTTTAACCTTTGAAAGTCTACAAAAGAAAAAAAGAATTTCAGCCAGTTATTTTTTTATTGCAATTTTTATGCTATAGACTTTTTTTAATAAAATTAAAATCTAGGCTTTTAAGTTTAGCTTACATTATTAACTAAAATTCCATATATGGTGCAATAGTTTTCGACCCCTAAAGCAGAACCACTCGACTTAACCCAAATTCCACAAAAAATGGGGCTCGTTAAATTTTGATTTATGGATGTTTGACTGTAATTTCTGAAATCGTCGCCGCTCTCTGATCTGCGATCTGCGATCTCTCTCGTTCTGGTCGCAACCACATGATCCATACGTTTTCAGCACGTGCTGGCACCTCTAGAAAAGGTCTTTGACTGTAGTCAGCTGATATCAGCATATTGGCGAGAGCTTTCCGCCGAGGTGCGACCTGCTCTCCTCTCACAGAGCAATCAGCATTATCTGCTCACCTGTACTATCAATGTGTGCCATAATGATGACAGCGGGATTTAATCAACATAAAGAAATATTCCCCTCGCAATGAATTTCCAAGTGGTTCGGCAAGACAATAAATCACAAGATAACAAGGTGCTGAATTAGCTTTAAGAATACTTTAATTTATTTACAGTAGTTTGTGTTCTTTCTTCAGTCTTAAATGGTAAATGCGAATTATTAAAAGCTACTTGTAGTTTTAAATGTAGAACTCTTATTCTTAAAGATCAGGAACTTTAGCTTTGTTGTGTGGATCGGTGGTCCAAATAGGTTTCGGCGTTATTTCGAAGGATCCCCTTACAGGATGACACGAGTCTGGAGCAAAGCCAGGGCGATCAGCTGCAGGCATAGGCTGTAAAGGGCACAGAATATTATAGAGGGGGTTTGGGGATGAAACTGCATTACAGAAAACCATGCCAAAAATTAAGTGAGTGAATTGTGACAATTTTGTAAATTTATTCGATTTAACTCGGGCAACGTGCAAAATGCTAAATATAGTTCAATTTCATGCAGAAAACCCAGTATATTGGATATAGACCTTACCATTTCGACTAAAACACATTCTCAATTTGATATTAATGTACTTTTAATTTTATTTTTTTAGTTTAGCTTTTCACGTTTTTCTCATGCTTTTTTCATGGATCATTTACTCTTTTATCTGGAAAATGTTTGTTTAATGCATTAAGTTATAACAAAGTTTTGTTAGTCTAGGGCCTAAGCGTCTTAAAAGTAGTTTATAAATAAATATTTTCAAATAAATAAATAACTCCATCTTTAAAGCTACAAACTATAATTTCACGCTTATCTCTCGTTGATCAAATAAATTAATATTACATGTTAGTTTCATAAGTATTGGTAAATTAAAATACAATCTTGTGATTTGTGAGTTTTGCATTCCGTTTTTCATTTATTTTACTTTTAATAGTTTTCGATGTGTCGTTGGCTTTATTGTTTCGCATTCGGATTTCTAACTCGAGTTGCCAAGTGGTGAAATTTGCATTCATAATTGATTTACAGAGCTTAAGCTAAATACGCACTGAGAGGCAGCGAGGTTCGACAATGCGGAGACAAAAAAATTGGATCTTACGACTAAACCGCGTATCTATTTACAAATGGATTCCCTCGACATATTCGATTTTTCACAATATTTAATTTCTACAATATTGGGAAAGCGTTTTGCAAGTTTTCAGTTTGATTCTGGTAGACTTATCGGTGTGGTCGTATTTTTGAGTATTTTCATCGTCAACCGAACGTGAAAGTTCCGCCACAGAGACTCAAGTATTTCAATAGACTCTTTCGGGTCGTTCGTGTTGCGTAAGGTTATGGCTTCGAATTTACATCTATCTGATTGGATGGGCGTGCGTTTATTATACATTTCGATGATGGTTATACTCCAAATTGTTGGCTTGAGAGGTTCTTATAAAATACTCGAGACTCCGTCGTAATACATTGATATTCATCGTCTTTAGTGGGGCTGGCATTGACCTGGATCTCGGATCAGGGATCGTGGATCATCGCCGGGGGGACAACAGTCCGCTGCATCAAAAATACTTTAGTGAACCACAGTCGTATGTAGGGTATGTGATATATCAAATATTTACACACTGGCGGATGATATTTGAATGTGGTGTTGATCTGGTGCGCTGAATGTGCAGTGTATAAGGTGGGTGTCTGTTGGTGTCTGATCGTGTGTGTGGATGTGTTGTGGAAACTTGCAATTACAATATCTCTTGCATACTCAAGCCAGACTTTTTACATCATTTTTGGGTCCTCCCTTATCTTTTCTCTTCTTTTCTTTTTCAACAGTCTCACACTGATTTCAACTGATTTTTTGCACATTTTGAACGTTTTGATTTTATAAGCCCGGAAAATAATTTAAATTTGGAAAAAATGATAATAGTAAATAAAAAAGCACAACAACCAAATAAAAAGAAACCAAAAAGAACAAAATGTGTGAAATAAATTTGGAAAATACTTTTAAGTTCTAGAAATATTCAATCAATGTTAATGCCAAAGGGTAAATATTTAATAATTTTAGAAAAATTTAGAGTAATCAAACTTCCAATCCATAAAAATATTAAAAAAGTTATTTGTTTAAATTTAGAAAATCGTAATAAAATTTCGTAAAATCTCTACTTAATTATCGTTTGTTTGTGAGAGATAGATGAAGGGTTAGCTAAGAATTTGCTCAAAGGGAAAACTCACAAATCGTAGTAGAGCGAATCGTCGCCGGCTGCCCCACTGCGTCCTTGGGCCTCGGAGCTGGAGTCCTCGTAGCTGGCATCCTCCAGGGATCCCCCGACGTCACCCTCGCCAGTCTCCTCCTCCTCCTCGTCCTGCTCCTGATCGTGATCCTCGTGATCCTGATCCTCGCCGCTGCTCATGCGCACATTGCGCTCCACCCGATCGCTCGTTTCGCTGAGTGCGAGGGCGGGCAGGGGCGAGCTGCTCTCCCAGTGGCTGCCGGGGGGCGTGGCCAGGCTGGTGGCCATGGTGGTGGTGGTGGAGGAGCTAGCGTCCAACTTCCGGTGCTTCCGCTTGCCACCGGAAACAGCCTTGGCCTGATGTGGCTGCTGTTGTGACTGCTTTTTCCCACCATTTGGACGCTGTTTTCCGGATTTATTTGGCCTCTTCTTGCCACCCGGCTGCAAATTGCCCTTGGCTCGCTGCTGCACCGCTTTGGCCAACTCCACGGGATTTTTCTTGGCCCCATTCTTCTTGCCACAATTGGGCGGAGCTCGCTTCTCGGCGGCCGCCTTTTCGCGCAGGTCCTTGCACCTCTGCGCCTTGGGCCCCAGTTTTCGCATGGCTCCTGGTCCACCTCCCCCTCCTCCGCCTCCTCGCTTTTGGCAATTGTGAGTGTCCTCCTGCTCGTGCGGCTTGCACCTGGGCTTCTTCTTTCTATTGGCCTTCTTATTACCACTACTGCTAGGGCTACTGCTACTGCTACTGCTACTGATATTACTGCTACTGCTAAGGCTACTGCTAATATGGCCGCTCTCGCTTTGACTACTGTTACTAATACTACTCAGGCTGCTGATCGCAGGCACAGGAACGTAACTGCTACTGCTACTTTTACTACTGCTGCTGCCACTGCCACTTGTGTTACTATTACAATGTGGCGGCCCCTTAAACTTGGCCACATCGATCAGCTCGATCAGCGGCTTGCCCGTATCACAGAGTTGCCGCACGCCGTGCTTAACGCGATTGGCCCCAAAATTCTTGGCGATCAGCTGCTCGACCCTCTCCTGCGGCACCGTCTCCGTGATGGCGTTCGTATAGGTGCTCAGCTTGCCCAGCGATCGGCTGGCGGGGATCTGGGTCCGCCTCGGCTGACCACTGCCATTCAGGGCCAAGTAGAAGACCCGCCGCGCCTGCGAGTGGTACGTGGAGGAGTACGTGTTGTAGTTCTGCAGACCCATGTTCTCGTTGAAGACGCAGTCGTCGGTGAAGTCTTTCTGCAACAATCAAGGGCTATGATTAAATGATTTGGCAAAACCAATGGCGGCGGAAATGGGTAATTGGGGGTATGGTAAAGAAAATAGTTGGTGTTCTTGTTACTTGAGATTTTCTAATTACACCCAAAAAAGGATGATCGATTTTACGTTATGTGGTATCAATTTTGACTTCATATGTTCAAATGATAGAGAAATCATTATTGCACGGTAAAAACGATATGCCAGAAATTTACCATGTGCATATCGATTTGACCGCAACGTGTTTTTTTTGTGTCTACGGAAGATGTTAACCATTAAAAAAGCCTTTTAAGGTAATTTACCGGTAGCCATGTTCGGAAAAACTAAAACCCTTTAAGTACAACTTGAAAAGTACCTTTTAGATCACTTCAAAGGGGTTCCTAGCATTAACCAACTTCTTCAGAACCGTATACCCCCGAAGATCTTAAACATTTCCCAACGCAACCAAACTTCTTTGAATTTTTTGCCGTCCAGGGGCGGCGTCTGTTTCTTTTGTCTATCAGCTAAGAAATCAGATGGATAAATGCGCTCATTATCACAGGATGTGCTCCTATCGGTGTTGGCCATCGATTAGGAGGCCCCCGACCTCGGGACGGCGCACTAACCATAAACACTTCTACTTTATGAACACCTCATGACAGCCGAACAAAAGGACCAAGCAGCCAAGTTGAAAGAATTACCCGGCTGAGAATGAGAAATTGTGGGCTACATTCGTAAGTTAGGTAAAAAATGTAAATCGGAGATCGAGAGAAAGGATTTTCAGTGGCCTTTCTAGTTGCGCCGACCGGCAGACATCTGCAGATCAAATTCAATTAACAAACACTGAATTAATTCGCTTGTCAGGCAATTAAAATTGTTTCGTAAATAAATCGGCGGCCTGAGGCAATTCCCTGCCTGATTTACCCGGGAAAATGTCGCCGCTTAAATTTAGAAATTAATCAGGCGAACTGCAATGAGCCATCAAATGGGTGAGGGCCAGGCCAGGAGCATCGGTGGAGTATGTTGACGCCATTCGGGGTCGAGTCTACAACTTTTTGACATATGTGACAACAATGTGGCTCGCAGCGCTTCCCTATCCAGAAAACTCTTTTATGATACACATGTATTTCCAGGCATTTTCCTCTATTTTTAGTCTTTAATGGCTTGCAAGTGAAAATTGGCAGACACCAAAGGGAAATGAAGTTGTACTTGGATAAGGGAAAACACCGAAGAACGAGGGGTCCCAGAACCATTAGCTCTGCGTGGCCTCCCTATCGGAGCTTATCGAGTGGCGCCAGGCCAGAGAAAGGGTCGACCAACCTGTAGTCGAGATTACTGGGAACACCTAGGGAAACGGAACCACTTAGGGTACACAATCTATGGCCAAAAACCAACCAAAACCACTTATCGCCCCTGAACAGGACAATAACGATGATAATGATGAGGCGACATATTTATTTTCGACCCGGTCGGCATTAATTGACCAAACCTTAAGTTCGTGGCCTCCGCGGGCGGTCCATTCCATTCGCCGGGGAACAAATTATGCAAATTAATAAGCGCAAACCGTAATGTGAACATTTATGGCTATGACATTTTAATTGGACGAGACGCTGACTCACGCGGGGTTCGGTTTTTGGGCTTGAGAATTTATGAATTGGCAAGCGTTTTGGGGTTTATTTCTTCCCTTGGTCAATTAGCCGAAGCCCGAAGTCACCTGCCTCGTTGGTCACAAGACACAAAATATTTAAAATATTATGGTGAAATTTCTGAAAATCAGTCACAAGGTAAGAGGCACTAAGAATAGCCCAAAAACCGACGACGGAAAGTGTTAAAAGTGCCAGTAAATCAGGGACCATAACTAGCGGGTAAGTTTAGAATGCATTCAAGCTGCGAGCACCGGACGCCTTGGTCGCCAAAATAAACAAGACGGCCCAATATAACCGCCCACTTGACCAACTTACAGATATCTTGGCTATGTTATAGGCATGCGGCGCCTTCAAAGGGCCGCCTACAAAGTGGCCGCTGGTGAAGCGCATCAATCAGCAAGTATCTGTTGGATCTGCTGTATCCGCGAGATACGAAAAGCCTATGTGGACGAGCGGGCACGCCTCGGCTGACAGAATTGGCACACTCGCTGCTATTTCGGATGCGGAAAGGTCAAAGTGCCTGCGACGGCGGAAAGAAATGAAATCAAATAAATTAAAAAAGAAAAGAGAGAAAAAAGAAAACTAATGTCCGACGGACCAATGAAGCGTTCACATGGCGCCAGCCCAAAAAAGGCAACCCGAGGTTTGTGGATCTCGAAACGCAGCGGGATAAAGTGTCGCCTTAATTTCAGAAGGGGGGTGGGGGAACGGAACCCAAGGACATCCCAGTCGAACCGACATCAGTTGCCACTTGACGACCTGACCGCGCATAAGGACACATTCCAAAAGGGCAGAAAGAAACCCTACAAAAGGACTCGCTTTGTTGCTGCTGATCGTGTTGCTTTGTTTTTGTTCACATTTAATTTTTTATTTATTGCCCGAGCCCTTCGGCCGCTCTTTCATTTATGGGAGTATCCCTTTTGGGTTTCTATTTCGGTTTACCTCAATCTTTTCACAGGCCTTTGTTTGTTTTTGTTTTCGTTAGAGGGGTGCCATCAATGGACTAGATATAGACCGCTCCAAATATCAAATATAGTTATCTGAGAGCGTCAAATTGTAATACGAAATCGATTTTGCGGTTCAGAGAATATAAGGAAAGTAAGGATGCCTGATTTTGTGATATATCTTCCTTTTACGGTTGAGCATTTTGAGTTTCTGTGTTCAGTTTTGGGATTTAAGTAAATAATCTTTTACAAAATTCAAGGAATTATAATTAGGGATGGAAACTAAAAAATTAATATTTTATTTTTAATTTTATAATTTTTTAATATATAGAAAAAACATTTTAATTGTATCCATTATTTTGTATTTCTTAAATTCCCAATTAAAAATCTGTTTAGAAACCTATTCTTCCCGTCAAAACCTCTACCACCGTTTCAAAATATTTTCTTTATGTTAAAATATGTTCTTTAATACAATATACCATCTAAAGCTTACTTACCGAGCCGTAGGGAACACCACACGCGTCCATGCACAGATACAGGCAAGTGGCCACACTCTGCAGCTTGATGCGTCCCACATCCACCGTGGAGCGCTGGAGGATCGCTGCAAATGAAATGGAGAAAGCACATTAATTAATTATCAATCACGAGTGCCAGAAGAGGAGACCTGATTACGGCCTGACCCACAATCTGGGCTCAGGTGTCAGGATGTCAAGAGAACCGGCAAGAGAACCCAAAAGGCCCGACCAGAAAGTGTTTAATTACATATCCCGACACCTGGAGAGCCGTCAGCCCAAAAGAGTGATTTGGCCATGGGTGAAGAAATATGTATAAATAAGAAAAAATACTTAAATAGTAGGTATAACCAGCTGGGAACCCACTAAATCATAGATTCCATTGCCGGGCAAATTTGTCAACTGTACCGAATCGAAGATGCCTTAAGTGAGATTATGGCGGAAATTATTTATGGCGAGTACCGCGGCGGGTTAATTGAAATTGCCGCCTTGCACTTGAGAAACGAACATAAAAGACGCGCAGCCACACCAAATTCAAGTTCAGCATCGTTTAAGGTCAAACCACTTGTGTGGTCTCCGGACCCGGGACTCAAACTGAAAATACCGATACGATACGATGCTATATACCGCCTGCCACTTTGTCAGTTGGCAGTTGCAGTTGCAGTTGGCTGGCCAAAGTGTGTCAGCACTTTGAGGCAACGGCTACGCACTCGTTCAATGAACTTTACGCACTTTGTGCATAATAAACATCAATTTATAAATACGCAGCTTGTTACGGGAGCAATTGGAAATTGAAATCTTAGCCAGCTGCTGCTGTGCCAGGGAAATGGCTGTTCCTAATAAAAATTATTATTAGAGATTATGGCCACTTGAGTGGGGGAAGCGATATGATTTCCTGACGATATGATATGAACAAGTAATTAAATCCTTAACCACTCTTTATTTACGTGCCCTTTAATGGCAGCTGAAATCCTTGAAACTAAAAAAAGGCATCTGGAAATGCTGGTATGCTGGTGATTTAATGCTTAGCCAATACTTGAATAATTATCTCATCTCCCTGGAAATTATGCCAGCACATAAACACACAGGCCCAAAAATATCATAAAATATTGCTGTCAATAGGTGGGCAATTTATGGCCCACATGCTTATCCCGTATATGCAACTTTTATTGCAACTGCATCTTGGGCTATAAACGAGCGAACTATTCGGAAAGGCATGCGTTTTTATTTACAGGGCATCAATCGCCCATCCCATCCCCCCTTCAAATACGGAAATTGTAAAGTTTCAGCGAAAAGGAAAAACGCATAAATACTGTAATTGAAACACAAAAAAAAGGAAGAGTCTTGAATGCCATTGCTTACCCGATACTTTTCCCGTTTTCCCGATGGATTTACCATTTCCCTCCCACAGAAATTTCCCACAGCCACGCGAAAAAATTATTAGGCTTGGTTTGGATTTTTAACGACATTTTAAAAGTTTTACGTAATTAAATTTTGTCTTTATTAGGAACCAAATAATTTCCTTTAAAATTTCTTATATCATTTATAATGTCAAAATAAATCTAAAACCCAGCAATATATTTTTTGAAGTGCACATGTAATTGCTCCATTTTTCTGGAGTCTTTGGTAATTGCCTTTTGGTAGATTTTAGTGGCTTTTCCGCTTTTCCGACTCTTCTGTAAGTCCAAAAAAAATATATATATAAACTAAACAAATGACATGCTAGGCGCGTCAGTTCATTTGTTAAAATCGAAGAGGTCGTCCAAGGGGGCAGTGGGTGGGGTTGGAGAGGGGGTGGGGGGTTGGAGACCCAGTGACAGCCTTTCACTTCGAATGCCATGTGGTGTTGCATTTCACTTGCGTCGTGTTTGTCGTGGTGTGACTTTTTTTCTCCGAGGCTCATTTAAAAAACGATTTGTTTTGCTCGAGTTAACAAAAGTAATTTTTCTTCTTTTTATCTTTTCGGTTATACGTATGTCTTTGCATGTGTGCGTTCGGACAGCGACAACTTTTAGCGTATTAAATTGTTAAAAAGAATAATTTATATTTTGTTTGTTCTTGTGGGAAAGTTTTCTCTGGCCATCTTTCCGTCTCTTTCCCGCACTGTGCTAAATTTAGCTCGGAGAAGAGAACAACAACAAGCAGTGAGAGCGCGAGAGGGATGGTCGCTCTCTCTGCTTGTGACTGAACTCTGGCCACACACACGACATGTGGCGCCGTGGCTTAGTTGGTTAAAGCGCCTGTCTAGTAAACAGGAGATCGTGAGTTCGAATCTCGCCGGGGCCTATGCTTCTGCAAGCATTTACTTTTTTTTTTTTTTATTATTTCTTTTATAAAATGTTTTTTTAAGATTTTCTTTATATTTTGTTCAATGTATTATTAATGCGTAAATTTTGTATATGGTCTAATAAAAAGCTTTTAAACTTGTAATTCAATTTGTATTTTAAAAGTATAGATAATATAAAAATGTAAAGAGTTTTTAGAACTGTTTATCAATAAGAAATGGTTTTTAAAATGTATTTATACAATCTACCCAAAACCATCATTCTTTATTATATTAAATTATATGTTTAAATAAATAACAACGATTTTAATTTTTCATGAAAGAAAATGGTACATTTACGCCTTCGCCCAATAAACCCATTTTTCGCCAGTAATAGTCATAGAAATCTAAACGATTTGCTCAGCTCATTATTATGTGTGTTATTGCAGGCGCAACAATAACAATACGGAATGGCTGAAGGTGTGAAATAAGTGCATATTGATAATCAAATGATCTTTTATTAATCAATCAGCGGGCGTGTGGAAGTTCAATCAGGCGTTGAGTGCAGTTCATTGAACTAAAAATGGGGAAACCCAAAGTTCGAACTCCAAAAGTTAATGTATCCAAATTCCTGGCACGCTTCTGAGCTGCTTTAAATTACCCACATATTAAGCACGTAGTCGGTCGAGTGTGGGGATGGGGAGGAGAGAGGTCCCGGTCTTTGGTCGCCGAAAACCACAATAATAAAATCGACTCCAATGGATGTCACGCTCTGACAATAATTAAAATGTCAAAAAATATGCCTGTCAAAACGGAGTTTCGGAAGGTGCTCGATTGAGTTATGTTGGGATTGGGATTGGTTGGTTCTTTTCCCTTACCATCGTTGGATCACTGGAACCTTTCGATTAACGCTAAAGGGGCAGGCGCTCGATTTATGCAAATGAGGCCTTAATTTTCCACAGCAGACGACAGACATCATTGGTAATGTCGAAATTTATGTGCAGGCCCTCAATAAAACTTGAAGTTGACAATGAAAAAATGATATAGTCGGATATTTTAAACAAAATCCATGCATATATGTATGGAATTGCCTTTTATTATATTTTTAATTATGCTTACAGAAAAAAGTGTGACGTTTTGGCGTGACATTTTATTAAGATTTACGATCACTTTTGTGGTTATTTAACATAATATGGTATGCCAGCCATCAATGGTCGTAAAAAATATCTCTGGGAATATCTAAGCGAGGCATTATCCGCTTTGTTCGGACCCCACACCCCCAATTTTCGTTGCCACTACTGTGCCACGCCGTCTTTTGTGGCTCCTCTAATTTATGATCGTGGGCAGCGTATTTTGACAATTTGATTTGAATTGGAGGCGAGCATATCAATCAATGGAGGCTTCACTCGATTCCCCATATCCCCATACCCATTCCAAGATCCAGATGACAATGAAGAGTTAACAGTCGCTGTCTATTAAAGCCCAATTAGTGGCACATTATTGAGTTGTCGTTTGGCCGGGCCATAAATCTTTGCCATGAGTCTGTGCCGCCTGCTGCCTGCACTTCTTGCCTAGATAAACGGCGATAAATCAAACCGTGGGCGGTACGATAAGCCGATCTATTTAGCATTTGCAGGTGATTGCTTTTTCGATGGGAAATCGAAATAAAAAACATACAGCTACTTATGCGAGCGATGGGAAAGCAGGGAAGCAGTTTCTCACCCTAAATCTGCGGCATTTCATGCTCGGCTGGAGAAATTGCAATCCGTATCTATTCCGGTATTCGCATCTCAAATTAGCACCCATCCACAAACAATCGCCTGAGTGCCAAATTCAATTCACAGTTGGCTAAACCTCGCACCCTCTCCGCATCTTTTGTGTCTTCTTCTTGGGCAATCGAAATGCATTTATATGCGATGAGATGCGATTCGGGAGGGAAAGGATATCCTGCAACCGAAAACCTTATTGGCCAATTTCCGATAAAAGCAAATGCGCAAAAGAATAAATTACAATCGCGTTGACAGGAGAGAGCGTTCTTCACTCCAGGGGTTGTTTACCCCGAGAACGCCCACTAAAATTCATTTTGCTGCATATGGCGAATCATAATGGGAATGGGAAATGTTGCAATATCTCCGGATATTGGCAAATCATAATGGAAAACTGTGCAATATCTACGGAATGAGATCTATTCGAGCTGTCGGGATTTGTCACGACCACTTTGGATTGGAATTTCTTTTCTGGCCATTCCACACGTGTGGGGATTCTGGCTTTCTCCCTGGGATAAATTAGATTTATCAACGCTACCGTTTTCGGTCCAGAAAACCAGAGGCTTCATATCGCGGGGCTTCCATCTGGGTACCCAATTCATTAATGAAAAATGAATGCGGCTATTGAGAATGCCTTCATTTGATTAAATTAGACTAATAACGTGTAAAGTATGGGCAGTTCCCCATCGAAAGGCATTGTCTCATCGAGTGGCCTGGCCCACCAAAGGAGAGCCAAGAAATTAAAGCCGATTAGGTAAAAGTTTTCCAGTGAAAGTTTACGACATTTGAATAACACCCAAATGTGCGTTCTTACAAATTAATACAAGCTGGGAAAAACAAACGTTAAAAATTATGTTAGAAAAGGTAAGCGGACAAAAAAAAAGCGTTGTAAAATGTAAAAACAAACATATGTAAAGTATGCCTGAAATTATGTCGGAAAAATAACTTGAGCAAGATGTTAAAAACTGTAAAATGTTTTGCATGAAAAAGAAAACAAAAAACAAGCTCGACCACGCCCCCTTGGTCCGCCTTCTAGTGCGTGACTAGTGACAGGCCAATT